GATTTAATATTTACATCACCTGCGCTCTCCACTGCAATGTTGGATTTATTGGCCGCTACAATTTCTGGTAGATCTGGTCCTCTTTCATTTTTCAGCCACTCTTTCCTTGCTGTTAAATGAATGCTAGCGCCACTGTCTATGTACCAATCGGTATTTTTGAAATTGCCCGTTGTAAACACTGCACTAAAACCGGTGTCTTTCACTGGACACTGCGAAACGTAATGTCCGCGCTGTTTACTTCCGATGTCCCATTGTACTTGTGTTTGGGATTGTGCCGATTTTTTGAAATTTACGACAATAGCGCCGCTGCTGATGGAGCCACCTATCTGCATATCCATTAAGTTTGTCCTAATGGAATCTCTTGTAATCTGTATTCGGGAATGCTCGACAGCCATGATCATTGAGGCGAAGCGTTCTGGGAGCCCTGCTAGTGAAAACGACCCAACTCACTGATCGTCGATCTTGAACTTTGTCCGTCTCAGCTTTTGAGAAGTCTCGACCACCTGATTTATGTAGGATTCTATCGAGTCATGGTTCTCGAGCCTTTCTGAAATCAATGTTCGCAGCAGACCGATTTTCCTTGTAAAACCATTATCATCGTATAGGTTTTTTAATTTGTTCCATACTTCTTCTGCTGTAGTAGCATCCTTCACATGCGGATAAAGAGATGGATCGATAGTTAGCACCAATTTAGCTTTTGCTTTGGCGATCAACGTAGTGTCTGTCTCGGCGCCTGTAATGCACTTACTTAGTCCTTCTAGTATTAGCACATTATCAATAACAAAAGACCACTCATCGTAATAATTATCCCTGCCAATTAACTTCGGCACACTTGTAAGATAATTACCTGCCATTTTTACTGTAAAAAAAAACTGTCCAAGTACACTACCGAACTACACAACGCGTTTTTTCTAAAAATAAGCCAGAAACCGTCTGGGCCCATAACCTATTATGAAAAATAATAAAACGCGTGTAGATGAGTTTTGGGACTTCTTTAATTAGTAAACTCATGGAACCAACTAGAAAAAATATACTGACGTAAAAACATAACCATTCAAATATAAATGTCAACGTCATAGGTGCTTTCATAAATGCAACCAGAACAGTCAACACACATGAGAACAAAAAAAAACAAAAACTCTCTGAATAGGCTTTTGGGATACTCATTTCAACAAACTGACTTAATTCTGTCAACTGACAAGTCGGGTGGCCACCTAGTTAAAATTATCAGGATAGAACACAACAGTCATGACAATATCCTTGCGCCATGACATCATTTTCATCATTGACCTAGGTATTTTTTCATTATTTTCATTATTAAACTAGGGAGAGAAATTCAATTTTTTCCTAGAAAAATAGATTGAATAATGACTACTTCTTAGGTAGGTAGTAAAAAAAATAATTAATAATATGGCCGATTCTGAGTCCGAAAGTGTCCCTTCGGATATCGAGACAACATCAATAAAAAGGTTCTTCTGGTAACTAACTTTCTTTTTGTATATTTTTTATTTTATAATTTGGGTGTTATTATGAATTCTCATAATCGCACTAGTGCTGTTCTGAAGTACCTACCTAATGACATTCAAATGACAATGCTAAATATGTCATAATGACACCGACATAGATTAAATTATATTTATCGGTTGCGAATAATTAAAATAATCAGTACATGATAAAGAGTACCAAGAACGGGGCCTGAGAGTTAATATAAATAAAACAAAATATCTATGTGTAGGCACCCACAACGGAAACTTGGAAGTGGACGATGGTCAAGAAATTCTGCAATGTCAGGAATATGATTATCTAGGTATCACATTCGACAACACCAGAACAGATGTGAAAGAAATAAAGAAGCGGATAGTTAAAGCTGAAAAAGTAATAGGATGACTAAATGGAATCTTATGGGGCAAGGAAATACCAAAGAAGAGAAAATTTAATATATGCGAGACAATGATAAAGAGCAGCCTTCTATATGAAGCAGAGACTTGGAGAATTGCATTGCAGACAGAGAAGAAAGTAGAAACAATTGAAATGGATGCTATTAGAAGATCCATGCGAATCTCATGAAGATAGGAAATAAGGAACGACAATATAAAACAACAATTGAGAATAGAAGGCACGCTAGTTCAGGACAATAAAGGGAAACAACTTACCCTGGTACGGACACGTAGAACGAATGCCAAATGCCAGATGACCAAGAAAAATGCTGCATTGACAACCAACAGGTAGAAGAAAACGAGGAAGAGCGAAACTGGAATGGCTGAAGACCATACAAAAGTCCATGAGTGAAAGAAATCTCTCATCAGAGGATTGCGAAGATAGAAGAGGATGGAAATTAGGTGTCGGATAACGAAGAAGACTTTCTAAAACGATATATATATACAGGGTGTCCCACAGTCCCACGACGTTTTTCCCAGGTAATAACTACGGAACGCGTCATCCAATATAATTGAAAAAATGTAACTCATGGTATATTATGGCATTTTTCATAAAAAAATTAAATTACAAAATCGGCAATACCATAATTTTGTTAAAGCATTGTTAAAGAAAATGATAAAAAATTATTCAGTGGAACATAGGATGATGCGATACGAAGTATAATTTGGGAAAAACCTCGTGGGGCACCCTGTATATATAAGTTATTCTTTTTCTATTGCCAGTGATAACTCTGACAATGGCATTCCACTCTCTGGCTTGAGGTGTAGATTCATAAAACAAAATACTTGAATGACAAAAAAATGTTTTTTTCTAGATTTGCGAATGGCGGGGCCCTGTATCATTGCTACGGCTATTACTGCGGTAGTTACGTCCCTGATATTTAGTTACCACTTTTAATCCATACCATGACAAAAATGTTATTAGTAAGAAATATTGCATCAATCCAATGTTAATTGGTTAAGTTAACGACTGAGATATTGCTGACCTCGGTTTCCTCTAAACTTGCTTTTCCTGATCAGCTTAAAAGCTTAGTGGCACTCATTAAGAATCCACTTTTCACTCGGATTTGGAAACTTTTTTCCCCAAGTTGACTCGAAACTCTACTTAGCTTCAATTAGTATTGTGTATGTACAAAATTTATTTCTCTTTCAACTTACCATCCAAATTTAATTCCAATTTTTGGAATAGTTATAAAAATTTAAAATTGAAAAATATAATTCAGCCTATTCATTGTATGCTAGATAATAATATGGTTGCTATATTCGCGAAACGTGAAAGGAGTTTTATTTGGAATTTTTCCCTGGTTACGTTCTAATGATATTTCCTCTCTATGTCAGTTGCTACTATAAGTTATTAACTTATTCCAATTTTCGTAGATAATTAGGTAGCATAAGGTATAGTATTTTTAATACCTATTTAGAAGTACCTGTCGTTTTAGTGACAAAACGTATGTCGCTTCTTGACACACAAATAAAATGAGGTTAGGAATTTCCTATTTGTAGATGAAATTGACGTATTAGCAATCGACGTTCGTTTTTGTTGGTAATTTTTTGTTTCATCTGATTCGTGATTGATAAATAAGGATGGGGTTATTCTAAATGGGTATTACAAATGCTATACAGTGTCATTACTTAAGTGTGCAACATATGGGATTTTTTTTTAGTATTAGCACAATCAAATTACAAACAAGGCCAAAAGTTGGTGCATGTCTGATAATCATATTAGGTGCAGTCAGAATGGTTGCAAGTCAAACAGCATACAGGGTGTCTCAAAAAATATCAAAATTCTACTAATATTTACATAAATAAAATAAAACTTTTGCACTTTAAGAAGAGTTTTTTTAATATGGCTATTATCATAAGTAATGTTTTAACTTGTTAAAAAAAAAATCGCGACATTTTAAAGTTGTGTTGAATATCATTGCAACAAACATGAATTTTGCGATTCCATAAAAAATTAAAAATCTAAGTTAATTTTACAACTATGCTTGAATTTGAACAAAGTTATGTAAAATTGATTTGATTTTAGTTAATTTTTGAAAGTATTAAGGGCGGAAATAAAAAATAAAAAAAATATAGAAATTATAGATTTTTTTCGAAAGAAAATAAAAAAAATCTTAGGAGGCTATGTTTTGGTATTTAGGCATAACTTTTAATTCCAAACAACTTTTCTCTATAACATTTTGCTGAAATTTCGAAAATAAGGGTACTTTACAGTACTGCTTTGATATTTGTTGGGCTACCCTGTATGCTGTTTGATTTGCAACCATTCTAAGTGCACCTAATATGATTATCAGACATGCACCAACTTTTGGCCTTGTTTGTATTTGGGTTGTGCTATTACTAAAAAAAATTCCCATATGTTGCACACTTAAAAAATCACACTGTATATAGTATTGAGAGGAAAAAAAAAATTGTATGTATTAGTAATGATGACCACATACCTACGTAAACCGATGATTTATTTTCGACTTTCAAACATTCTTACTTATTTTTCTCTCCTGATCGAGTAACTAAAAAATATATTGCACTTTAACACATTTAAGAAACTTTTAATTGATTTGAAGCTCCAAAAGAGCTCAATTACCGGAAACACTTAACTGGTTCTATTTATTGCTAAAAGACGTAATATTTTTCAACATGGCCTTGCAACTAATGTGTTATATTTTCCAGTTTTCTAGATGCTTGTTTATTTCAAGTGAAACATAGTTATTCTGCATAAAATTTAATTCAAGCAACTTTTTAATTTGACATAGAATTTGGGATTCTAAATTTTAACTGAGTTTCAATTGCCATTCCTAATTACTCCCGAGATACGACTTCTTCAAGGCCTGTTACAGGTAACATAGTTAGAAACTATTTTCGGCGACATACTTTACGTGTAAGATAGTTCTTAATCTTTGACCTTTATATTCACAGGAAATGTATTTCGCTGTAATTCAATTCTAAGTTTATTACTCAAGGGTTTTTTTTCTCAAAATGTCTCTTTATTATTGTCATAAAGGGTGAAGACTTTTTGATTTATTTTCTGATATAAATTTTGCACTGAAAACAATTACCTACCTTGCAGGATACGCTGCCACAATAGTCGATGTAATTTCCAAGACCAAAAGAGCTGCTAGTGCCATCATGATAAATGAGCCACAGTTGGAACTTGTTGATGGAAAAGACTTCATTTTCTGAAAAAAAATTAAATGCACATAGTGTTTCTTAATAATATCAATGTGTTTTGATGCATATATATTCCAGAATATTCCAAATACCTACTCCAATTGATTTCTACTTTTCAAAGTAATACTTGGCATTTTAAAAAGAGATTGGTGGAGGCTTAAGAAATATATTTTCCATATGTCATAAATCTTGAACATTCCTATAAAATGAAAGCTGAACATTCATAATACGATCAAATGCAAAACAGAACCAGCAATCGGTTCAAAAAATATAATCAATCACCGACTAATCAAAAAATTCTATTATTTCTGTGAACCATTGTTAGAGCTTTAATTTTTTGTTATCGAAATGCTAAAAGGAAAACACCAGATTTAAAAAAGAACGGATTTACATTTCAAAATATTTCCCAATTTCCACTCGAAAAAATGCAAATACGTTCACTTAGTTTTAAATCAAGGGCTTAAAATTTCTGTCATATATTTTCTAGGATTTTTCAATCGATAATGAAAAATTGCCATTGTAAAGTTGTTGTGCTAAAGCTTCGACGGCGGGTTTATTCTTTCGTTTTGTGATTTATTTGAAAATATTTGTACCAGTGGATTTACTACACTAATATGCGATTTAAATCTCTGTGCTTGAATGCAGATAATATTTTAATTATGATTATATAAACGAAATATTATTTCGCTTTGAATTGTGGGCAACTATAGATGGAGAGTAGGTATATAGTCAGGCTGCTGATAAAATCTCTAAATATAACAGTGACAGTTGTTGAGTTGGGTAAGTTTCATTTAGCAATAGCGTGCCAAGGTTATAACCATTTAATATTTAAAGCAGGTATGCTTATTGTACTTCATCTTTTGCTAAGAAATAAAAAAACGCTGTATTATGAAGATTTTTTTAAAAATAAAAAATTAAATATTTCTGTCACAAAAAGACGAAGTTTCACACAGGAACACAAAATAATATAAATGTAGTGTAGTATAACATACCCGGGTTCCTTCAGTAAGATTGAACTATGAGAATTTTTATTACCTTTAAACAACAAATCTTCAAAAAAATGAAATGAAAAACAAATAGGACCTACGTTGTGGAAGCTTACTCAATTTTACTTACTGGACATGCGCCCGACATAGCAAATATTTGAGAAATTCAAGGGAAGTTGTGATATGTAAAAGAAACGAAAAATTTGTGAAACATCTACTTTATTATTGAAGTAAATCGTACCGTTCTCATCCTGGAACTAACGAGGGGAAAGAGCACGGCAGAGAAACCCTCGATCTAACACTCCTCAAAAATCGAAACATACTGTGTCATTTTAATAATAATTGTGAGTCATTAATTCAATAGAAGTTGGAACTAGGTACCGCCCGTGTTCTTGTGCTAAAATTTTAATTACACACACTACATTCAATCAACACTACCTATAATCAATACTGAAGAGTTTTTTGTTAGTTAGCCGGTCTGCCGAAGGGTACTGAGGTCCCATACGGGATGCTACCCAGCTATAGTTGTTATTTTGAGCCAATATATCTTTCCTTTGTTTGGTAGGATATTCGCTCGTCAGGGTAGGAAAATGTTAGTAAATTCAACAAGGCCCTAATGCACGCTCTGAATACACAAAATCAAAATCTCAGCACAATAAGACAGCACATAATTTCTTAGGTTTTAATTTACTTCTTTATCCGTGTTGTTTATAGCATGGAACGATTTTTGTTAAATACATGAACAATGGATATAAAAGTGTTATAAACAAACAAAAAAACATAAAAATGAAAACAAAAAATGATACTTGTATAAATAATTGAACTCTCAAAAACAAAATAACAATTATTCAACTAACCTGTGATCGCTCCTTGACACACACACTAATAACAAATTGGATTGAACAATCAGTTTAATGCAAAATGAAAATAAAAATTGAATAATGAATAATTACAGACACGCGTCTAAGAGCCCAGCCCAGCTTGTTCTCCAGTCTATTTGCGTATTTTCTATCTCCCGTTCGGTACCTACCCTTTCAGTACGCTTCACGGCGCATACAAGGTTGCAACATTCACTTTTATTCAGTAAACGTTTTTTTTTTTTAAGTTAAGATTTGAAGAAATAATATTTTCAATGACCTATTACCACAGATAGATACAGTATTCCGTTCATAAAATACTATTTGTTGTGTTGACAACATGTTTATAGGCCAGGGAGGATTTGGGGTGCGGGCGGTCCATGGTGGGGATAAGTCGCCTGATCTAAGTCCGGCCTCAACAGCTGTTACCTGCCATGGACCAGACCCAATTGGTACCGCTCCAAAACCAAAACGATGATATTCGAAAAGTATTCCAGATTATACGAACATATCTTATGTATCGGTCTTTTTTTAACATATACTAACCATCATCGCATAAGATAGAGACAACAAGACACTCTGGGCGAGAACGGAACGTATTACTACGACAAGCAGGAGGCCAGGTTTAGTCTAGTGCTGTGTTACCAAGTGTAATTGAAAGGCAGGACTTTATACCTGCGTTAGAAAGAGAAAATAAATATTCCTACGGCTAAATGTGGCATTTTGGTAGTGGGGGAGTTTGGTCAGGATAGAAAGAATCGGACATGCTGGCAACATATATTTTTGTTTATAAATCCGTCTATCTGTGATAATAGGTCATTGAAAATTTTAAATAGGTGGTTTTCCTCAGTAGGTACATACAAAAAAATCATTGTAAAACGAAAATAGTAGTTTTTATGCAAGAATTTCTTACGATTTCATTTTATTATACTGAAATTTACTTACAGAGTGGTCCAATGAGTATGTACCCAACAGTAGATGAAGGGATGTGGCGACCTCATGCTGAATAACCGCGTCCAGAGGGTACCCCATGCGGTCGAAACAAAACAAACTCAATCTTGCCAAGTGGAATATTCGTATACTTATGACCTATGGACCATATTGCTGAGCATCCATCCGGAATATGCGAAATATCGATGTCACTGCGGCTAAGCTCCAGCAACAACCAACAAGCTACGCTGACGATAACCGAAAAAAAGATTTTTAGGTTCAGCTTAGTTAGGCCTAGATCTGATAAGCTTCTTCTTTCAGGTGATTTTAACTCCTAGGTCGGTACAGAGTCAGATCTATTGGAAGGCGTGATCGGCAAGGAAGGTGTCGGAAAGATGAACTCGAACGGTGTTTAAAATTTATTTAAACAAATGAATTATGGCGACATTTGGTAAAGTTGAATTCTTGTTTCTTCTGTTTCAAGCCAGTCATTTGTATTCATAAAAAAATAAAATTCCACAGTCTTTATCGAAAGGAATGCGAGAAAAAAACCAACCCTTGACTCTGAAGGTAGCAAGAAAGATATATTTTTTCTTTCTCTAGAGGGGACGCAACGCATTCCTCTGTTGAAGATTTTTGAAGGTCAGTTAGTTTTGATCACCTTTTGTGGCTGCATGTCTACAAGGGTATAATTTCGCAACAGATAGAACTCTCTCGCTCACTTCAGTAGTTTTTACTTGCACTTGGCAACTTAGAATAAATGAAGCTGTGCTAAAAGTTGATAGGTACCAAGTTCTCAAATATGAAAACTTAAACTTAACTAAGATTAGTTTCTTTGATTTTAAGAAGATGCGCGGCTTTCTTGAACTTCTCCGAAATATTATTAATTTCTAAATATATTATTTTACGCGTGACCTCGGTGCAAATAGCAGTTTGGCTGGTCGCACGCTCGAGGCTGCATCGCTGGCTTTGGACCGAAGCGCGCACCATGGTATTTTCTCCCACGAAGCTTGCCCTTCCATCGTCGAGCGTTTTCCTTACAAACGAACGGCGTTGGGTTAAGTCAGTTTGGCCCGAGTCCACCAACTAAGTAGACGCTTCCGACTTTCACCGAATACCGAGGTAGGCCTTCTCTCCGAAATACCGACTGGTACCTATTTCACCGCTACGCGAGTAAGTTATTTTTCATTAATACTTGGTTGGTAAATTATATTTTTGTTTTTACTGTCACGGTTCACTTGGACGGAAAGAGTTTAAGATTCTATAGACTATCACGGTTTATGTGTACGGATAGTTTTCACTAAGATATTTATTTTACAAAGTAAAGTTCTATAAACTATCACGGTTTATGTGTATGGATAGTTTTCGCTAAGATATTTATTTTACAAAGTAAAGTTCTATAAATTGTCACGGTTTATGTGTACGGACAGTTTTCTCTAAGACATTTATTTTCACACAGTTTAAAGTTCTATAGCTCTCACGGTTTACTTGTACGGACAGTTTCTCTTCATATATTGGTTCATGTTTTATTGTCACGGCATAGTGTAAAGTTCTATAAACTGTCACGGTTCATGTGTACGGGTAGTTTTCTCTTAGATATTATTTATACTGTCACGGTTCATGTGTACGGACAGGGCTTTATTTCCACCGCCGTTGCGGTTGATTCTAACTGATTTAAGGTTACCGTATTGACCAACCAAGTAAATTCATGTCTGTATCCGAAATGTCTTACTTAAGTGTGAAACGGGTACATCAGTATTCGAACGAGTTAAAACCGTTAAGATCTAACCCTTTTGTATTGCATGACCGCTTCTTGTTTTCTGTTACTCACCGCTTGCTTATAAACCGCCCGTTATCATTAATCTACACGCACGCACACATACACATTTTCACTCTCTTCATTGCACGCCCGCTTCTTTCACTCTATTCACTCTGCTTAAGGAATGTTATATTTTACTATAGGCATTGCCTTATAGACATACATTTATAGCAATAAATACCAGAACTTAATCGTGATTTCATGTGTCTTCTTTTGGAGTTTTCTGGAGGATTTACAGGAGGTATAGAAGAAATAACTTCCAGCATCTGATTCGACCCCTGATCTCCACTGTAACAAGCTACCTGGTGCACGTGGGCCCTCAACCACAATAACCCTGAGGGTGGCGCCCGAGATAACCGTTAAAGCAAGAAAAGGAAAAACCGAAAGGGCGCTACACTTTGAATAAATAATTTCAA